TCGTCCTCCTCCTCCTCCTCTTCCTCCTCGTCCTCCTCCGTTATTGTCCTCCTCCTCCTCCTCCTTTTTCTCCTGCGTCCTCCATCCCTTCCCCTTGCAAATCACTCCTCACTGTCGCACCCCCAGACGTGTCGGTAGGGTGGGCCGGGTTGTTCGCCTGAGACCTCCTCGGCGCTCGTGACCCTGAAGCTCGAAATTTACAACAATGTCACGGATTGGGGGCGGATGGTTTTCAAAATGTAGCTCTCGTCTCAGCGCCGCACACATTTGCCTGATAAGTTCGCAGCAGGTTCACGAATGGAGGACGAACATGTGACTCTCGTCTTAGCGCCGCGCACCTTGGCCTGAAAAGTTTGCAACAGCTTCACGGACGGAGGGCGGAATTCCTTTTAAGCTGGTCCTCCACCTTCCTCACCGTCCATCATCATATCCTCTCCTTCTCCCTTGCCGTCCTCATCCATATACTCGAAGTCTAACAGAAGACATAGGAATAATGGTTTCGGTGGCCGCCCCTTCCGAAGTACGAGTCCCGCCTCTGCAGAGGGGGCGCCGCAGCGGTCGCGCCAACGTCCTGCGCCTCCTCCCTGGGCCCTTCGCAGAACCCCTCGCGAAGGGGCGGCGCCCCCGCAGACACGGACCCAGACTCTCGCTCGCTTCTGAAAAACGAAGACAAGAAGATCATGGCCTTCCTCCTCCTCCTCCTCCTCCTCCTCCTCCTCCTCCTTCGCCGCCTCCTCCTCCTCCTCCTTCTCCTCGTTTTCGGCCTCTGGGGTCCTCGCGGGGCCCCAAGGCCTTCAAAACAACGGCTCGGGATGACAAGCCGGCTCCGGGCAAAATGGCCGGGGCTTCCGTGGACCCCGCATCGCCAAACCAGACGTCGCAGACCCGGGGAGCCCAAGACAAGCCGACAAAGGCCCCAAGCGGGCCCCAGAAGGGCTCCTCTCGGGAAGCGGAAGCGCGAGGAGCCAGGCGCGGCGGCCTTCTGGGCGGTGCTCGAAGGGTCGCCACGCCACCTGGATATCCCACGTCGTGCTCTGTTTGATGACGCGGAGGCCCCGAGCTCTCGCCCCCGTTCCCAGAGAATGGTGCTCCGTCGCGGCAGGCGTCCGATGGCCCAATTGGGCCTCGGAAAGCCCAAGGAGGCCCCGAGGCTCAGGCGACAAACGGCGCCAGGGCCTCCGCTCGCGGCGACTGGAGGGCGGGGGGGCCTCCGCGACCGCGCGATCTCTGCAAGGGTCCCGTCGAACCCCCCCTCTGGACCTCGAGCGCGGGGTGACCCGGCTCAGCGCAAACCTGGCTCAGCCACCGGGGGCTTACCAAGCCAGGCACAGCTGCGAACCGAACCGACAACCGAGGACCGGGTCTGGAACCGAATCGGCCGAACCGAACCTGCCGGCCAAACTGGACCGGCCGCGTCGAATCGGCCCGCCGCGCGAACCGAAACCGCCGCACCGAAAAGGCCGAACCGCACCGGCCAACCAGGGGAACCGAACCGGCCGAACCGAACCGGGCGGCCGTCCACTTCGGGCCTGGCCCCCAGGACCCCTAGGACCCTCAGGACCCTCAGGACCCCCAGACACCCGTGCCCCCAAGATCCCCAAATCGGTACGGCAGGTTCGTGTCGTGTCGACCCAGACGTTGGTTCCTGACACCGCGGGGATCGTTCAACCTTGAACGATCGGCCGTTCCCGCAACGTCCAATGGTTCAACATCGACCGTCTCTGGGCCGCCGCCAGCGTGCAACGTTGAACGCCGGCGGCCGAGTCGCCGCCGGTCGACACGACACGAACCTACCGTAGGATCAGGGGGGCGTAAGACCCGGGTACAGGGGACTCGGAAATCCCCGACGAGGTCGTCAAAAAAATGACGAGGCCGAGCCAACATTTTGACGAGGCCTCCCGCTGCAAACATCCCACGAAACTCCTACTCGTCAAAATCCGAATCGCGGTCGTCAAAAAACGATGGCGAACCCGAGTCCTGGCAAACCCTGGTCTTACGCTCCCCCGATAGGATCCCCCAAGACCCTGGTTCCCCCCCCCACCCCTCTCTTGCGAGTGGCCGGCATGTTGCGAGGCGCGGCAAGTCGTCTCTGCCGCCTGCCTCCCGGGCCTCCTGGCCTTCTCGGGCCGGCCGCTGCCTCTCCTGCCTCTGGAAGCCGAAGGTACTCCAGATTTCGTAATAAAGGGAGGGGGTCTCATTTCGGGGGGTGTCTCTTCCAGGCTATCTTGGAGGGCCTGGGGGGGTCTGGGGACTATGTTTTGGAGGGTTCTCCCACGGGGGAGGTCTGAAATGGCTTGTCTTGGAGGGTCCAGACCCCCTCCCTTTTATTACGAAACCTGGAGTATGCACTCCTCGAGGCCTGAAAAACGGTCGAAGGTGCCTCCCAAGCTTCCAGGTTCAGGTCGGGCATGCCCCCCTGCAGGCGGTTCTTCCACGACAAATCCCCCCCAAAAAACTCCCACAGAAAGTGCACCCCAAGGGTCCAAAAGATTGTAGAAAAAATCGTCCCCAGACTATGTTTTGACTGCTCTTGAGCGTGCCTCCCGTGGAGGGACAGGCCCGACTGAATTCCAGGGGCCGACTGCTGCCCCCCAGACCTCCTGAAGTCGAGACCCGATTTCCTCGAGACCCGAACCGCTGCTGTTCTGCAGCCCCCGGGGGCTCCGGGGGGCCGACGGCTGCCTCGCACGCCTCGGAAGCCGACGATCAACTTTGAAGAGGCCCACAAACACACAAATAAATACACACAAATAAAATGATTCCCCATATTTTCACATATTTTCTGAGTTTTTGTCTTCCCCCCCACTTCCCATATTTTCCCATATTTTCCTGGGAGTGGACGATTAATTGTGTCTGTGTGTTTTCTCCCCTCCTGAAACTTCTCGAGGCCCGAAGGCATTGCTGCAGCTGCCCTCCCGGGCCTCCGGGGTCCGCCGGCTGCCTCCCATAGGCAGGCCTCCGGAAGCCGAAAACCTGCCCGATCGACCGGCTGCTTCTGCTGTCCAGGAGGCTTCCGAGGGGGCGACTGCTGCCGCCTGGGCCTCCAGAGGCCGAGCATCGTCGAAGGCCAGAAGAGTGTGTCTGCTGCCTCCCAAGACTCTGGGGGCCGATCGTCGCCTCCCCTCCCAGTCCCCCCCAGCCGCCAAGGATGGCTTCTGCACGTCGAGAAACAGCCCGTCTTGCGATGCGCCTTCTGCAGATTCAGGCCTCGAATGTCCACGGAAGGCATTTCGGATTTCACCATTTGCCCTCCACCCGAAGAAAATGCTGGGTAAATTCCGGACGACGGTGCCGGGCGGCTGCGGCAGGCTCGCAAAATGACGGCGACGGGCGTTGGCCTCTGACACCGCGCGAATCATCACGGGATCCAGCAACCGCGCCCTTCCGAGTGGGATGGAAGAAAGAAACAAAGGCATAAACAAAAGCTTTTTGGCGTCCCATGCGGATGTCTTGGATCTGCGCTGGAACCCATCTCCCTGGCGCGCGGAGCGCGCCAGGGGCGGCGCCGGAGGCGCCGCCGGGAGGGCCCAGCGCGGATCCAAGAAATCCGCGCGGAGCGCCAAAAGTTTATGTTTACACTCAAAGAAATCTTCCAGTAAGAAATGGAGATCCAGCTTCGCTGAATTTCTTAGCCCTCTTGCGAGAGCCAGTTTTGAAGCGAAGCGTGCAGTTTCTTACGCAGCGCGGCGCCAGTGTTGGTGGTTTTGATAAAGATTGCGCCGGTGATGATGCCGATTGCGGGGCCTGGGGCTCTGCAGCAACGTCTGAAGCACAACATGCAGGAGCATGTGGAGAAAAATGTGGTGGGGGATCTGGACGAAGACCGGCGGGAAATTCGAAGGAAGATCTGGAGAAAGATCTGGGGAAGATCTACGGTAGAGAAGAGATCTCGAGGAAGACCCCGGTGAAGATCTGGGTGAAGATCTGGACGACGATTTGGAGGAAACCTCGGGGAAGATCTGGAGGAAGATCTGGAGAAACATCTGGTGGAAGATCTGGGGGAGATCTAGAGGGGAGATCAGAGGAAGACCCAGGTGAAGGGTGAAGATATGGGTGAAGATCTCGGGGAAGATCTGGGTGAAGATCTATGGTAATATCCGGAGGAAGATCTGGAGAAATATCTGGAGGAGGATCTAAAGGAGAGATCTCGGGGAAGATCTGGGTGGATATCTGGGGGGGGATCTGAAAAAGACTTTGAATACCTTATGGTGAAATATTGGAAAAAACCATCAGAGGGAAGATCTGGAGGAGAGATCTCGGGGAAGATCTGGGTGAAGGTCTGGGGGAAGATCGGAGGAAGATCTGGAGGAAGATCTGGAGGAGAGATCTCGACGAAGATATGGGTAAAGATCTGGGGCAAAATCTGCAATAATGTATGAAGGAAGAACCGTGGGACATCTGGAGGAAGATATCGGAAAATAGATTGAAGGAATCTCTGGAGCAGGATTGGGCGGGACATCTGGAAGCAGCTCTGCGGAGAGATGTGGACAATGATCTGGAAGAATATCTGGAAACCCAGAGGATGATCTGGGGGAGGAGGAGGAGGAGGAGGAGGAGGGAGGAGGGGGGAGGAGAGGAGGAGGAGGAGGAGGAGGAGGAGGAGGAGGAGGAGGAGGAGGGAGCAGGAGGACGCCGCGCAGCCGCTCCTCGCATCCTGGAGGAGCGATCGCTCCTCCGGGCCTGGGCCGCGAGGCGCCGGCAGCGCGACTCTCCTCCTCGCGCCCACAGGAAGGAGACCACGTCGCCGGCAGTGCCCTCCTCCTCCTCCTCCTCCTCCTCCTCCTCCTCTCCTCCTCCTCCTCCTCCTCCCTCTCCCCCTCCTCCTCCTCCTCCTCCTCCTCCTCCTCTCCTCCTCCTCCTCCTCCTCCTCCTCCCCCTCCTCCTCCTCTTTCTCCTCCTCCTCCTCCTCCTCCTCCTCCTCCTCCTCCTCCTGCTCGCACGCGCAGCCTCGCCGGCTCAGAGCCGCGCCGGCGGCGCCCTGCCCCACCAGGCGAAGAGCTCCGAGCCGCGACGCGGGCCGACGGAGAGCGCCGAGGCCTCCGCCGGCGCGAGCAGCTGCAGGCCGGGCTCCAGGGCCCTGCGGTACTCCGCGACGCTGACGGGGAAGGGCGGGCCCCTCTTGTCAGGGAGCGAGCAAGTGGCACGAGCATGCACTCAGGAGGGAAAAAAACACACAGACACAATTATTCGTCGACTCCCAGAAAATATTGGAAAATATGGGAATTGGGCGGGAAGACAAAAACCCAGAAAACATAAGAAAATATGGGAAATCTGTTTATTTGTGTGCATTTATTTGTGTGTCCCAGGGCCCCTTCAATACAGACTCGGAGGTCCGCGCGGAGTTCTCGGGTCGGCGCGGGAGGCGCCGCCAGGGGGGGTCCAGCGCCGATCCGAGGAAGCCGCGCGGGCTGCCGAGCTCTTAGACTCATGCCATTGCGTCGGCTCCCCTGTCTTCGGCTCCACGGCGTCGGCGTCGGCGGCGAGGGGGAAGATGAAGGTCAGGAGCTTGCCGTCGGGCCTCAGCAGCTCCGAGGTGCGCGCCCCCCAGCTGCCGCGCAGGGAGGGGGGCAGGGCACAGAAGAACTGAGCATTTTCTTAGGGTGGAGGGCTCAGGGTGAAATCAATCCGTCGCGTGATTCACTTATTGCAGATTCAAGCCTCGAAAATTCATCGACACGGCATTTCAGATTTCACCCTTTGCCCTCCACCCAAAGGAAACGCTCGGGAAGAAGGTGTAGTCGAAGATGAAGTCGAAGGTGCCGACGTCCGCCGTGAAGAAGTCGCCGCAGACCACCTCCGCGTCGGGGCAGAGCGGGGCGGCCTGCAGGCAGGCGGTGCTGCTGATGTCCAGGGCGACCACCTCGCGGCCGCCCTCGGCCAGGTGCTGCGCGTCGTAGGCCGAGCCGCACCCGGGCACCAGGCAGCGAGCGCCGGCCGGCACCTGCGGCGACAGGTGCACGAGCAGGGGCGTCGGGCCCCGCAGGTCCCAGGGCGTGAGGCCTTCCCTCCACGCGGCCTCCCAGAAGCCGCCGGAGCCAGGCCCGCCCGCCTCCTGGGCCCTCGAGCCGAGCTTCTCGCGCGCAGCCTCGATGGCCGAGGACGCGGCGCGGGGCACCACTCGTCGCATGTGGCGCCAGTCCCCGAGACCCGACGCCGCGAAACAAGCGCAACACCGCGAAGGATCACGACCCGAGCCCTGGGCCCCATTTTTCTGCGGCAGTCTTCGAACCGGATCGAGCTGTGATGGTCCTGCGGCAGGGAGCAAGGCAACACCGCCGCTGCGACAAAAACCGCAGCGCCAGGATCTAAGTGTGTGTGTGACGGAAACCCAGACCCCACATTTCTGCAACGTTTGTGGAGGCCAGATCGAGCTGTGACGGCCTCGGGGCCCGAGACAAGGCGAAGCTGCTAAAGAAAATGCGACGCGAGGATCTCCTGGCACGACGGAGCCCTAGACCCCATCTTCCTGCCGCGTTTGTCGAGGCCGGACATCGAGCTATGAGGGCGCCCCTGGAGGCCCGAAGCCGGGCGAGAACGCTCGGGGAAAAAATGCAGCGCCCAGATCTCAAGGTCCCCCTCCTCCCTCGCTCCCTCCACTCCCCACCTCCTCCCTCCCTCCCTCCCTCCCTCCCTCCCTCCCTCCCTCGACTCCCCAACTCCTCCCTCCCTCTCTCCCTCCACGGCATCAGGACCGCCTCGGTGCCCGATCCGGCCGACCGACCGACCCTCCCTCCCTCCCCCCCCAGACATCTGGCGCCGCGATGCTTTCGAGACACGGGCCCCCGACCCTTCGAACACTTCCCCAGGACCGGTTTTTCATCCCGAGTCGCCTCTTGACAGTCCCGAGGAGGAGGAGGAGGAGGAGGAGGAGGAGGAGGAGGAGGAGCAGGAGGAGGAGGAGGAGCAGTGGAAACCATCCATCCAACGGTTCCACTGAGGGAGCTGCCTCGTTGGAAGACATCCGTTTGAAGACCCTGAAGCACGCCAAAACAATGTTCTCGGAATTCCAACGCCACGAATCAACCTGACTGTTGCGTCTTGACGGTCTTGAATTGTGCCAGATCACCATTCCTGAGGATTCAACACAGCGAATCAGCGTAACTGTTGCACCCTCATTGTCCTGAGCCCTTCCCAACACATCGTTTTTGGTACGCTGACCATGGGAATATGTGAAACGCTTGCAAATGTTGAAAACGAATGTGCGCGGCGCTGAGGCGAGAGCCACATTACGAAAACGAACCACCCTCAACCCGTGAAGCTCTTGCAATTTGTTAAAAGGAATGCGCGCGCCGCTGAAGCGAGAGCCACATTCTGAAAACGACCCGCCCTCGATCCGTGAAACGCTTGCAAATGTTTAGAGCAAATGTGCGCGGCGCCCAGGCGAGAGCCGAATTTTGACAACGACCCGCCCTCAATCGGTGAAGCTCCTGCAAACTGTTGGAACGAATGTGCGCGGCGCTAAGACGAGAGCCACATTTTGCAAACGACCCGCTCTCAATCCGTGAAGCTTTTGCAAAAGTTTAAAATGAATGTGCGCGGTGCAAGAAAACAAGAGCCGCATTTTGAAAACGACCCGCCCTCACTCCGTGAAGCTCTTGTCATGTTCAGAGCTTCAGGGTCATGAATGGTGAGGACGTCTCAGGCAAAACGCCCAGCCCGCACTAAAAACTGGCCTCGCGGTGCGACAGGGAGAAGTTGCTGATAAGGAAAAGGAATGGAGGAGGAGGAGGAGGAGGCGGAGGAGGAGGAGGAGGCGGAGGACGAGAAGGAGAAGGAGGCCCGGCAAGGGCCCCAGAGGGGCGGAACCCTGCGAGAAGCCCTGCGCATCCCGACCCTGCTGCGACGCCAGATCGGCCTGGGCCCCTCCCTCTCCCTGCGATGGCCCCCCGGGGCCAGGCCTGGAGCCCCGGCGCCGCGATAGCTTCGCAACGTCGACGCGTCGACCTCCAGAGGTCGGGACCCCCATCCCCAAAAACCTCCAAGAGGTCGGGACCCCCGACGTCGTGATTGCTTCACAGCTCGGGGGCGGCCACGAGGGGGGCGTCCAAGAGGGGGGGGCGCACATCGCGGCCGGCGGCACGTGCGCGGCCCAGGGGGGGCCTCGGGACGCATTGAAACAAGACGAGGCGCCATGAGGTCTGGGGAGATGTCGTGGCCCCCGCCATGAGATCCCCCCCTTGCTCATCCCTCCTCTCTGCCGCCCCCGACCAGAGGTCGGGACCCCCGTCCCCGAGGACCGGCCTTGCATCCTGAGTAGTCTTTGGACGGCCGCGAGGCCCGGGGGAGGCTGCCGGAAGCCGAGTGGAGACCTCCAACCGCAAAAAAATAAGAATGCTCAAAACATATTCACAACATGGTCAAACGTATGTTCAACAAAAAACGTCCCCAAGTGAGCGCGTTTCTTTATTTCGGCGGTAATGGGTATTATACAGCGGGGAGGGGCCAGGGGGTGGTATCATGTAACGCCTCCCCCCCGGCCGTGCGCACGGCGGCAGTGCCCAGGGGGCGCCGGGGGCTATAATGCCCATGATGCCCCAAGCGATAAAGAAACACTCTCGATTATTATTTGGCTGTTTTTGAATACTCCTCCTGTATAGGGACACGCCCGACTTGAGACAAGGCAGGCTCGGCCGCTGGAGGAGGGGGAGGATCAGGAGCAGGAGCAGGCGCAGTAGGAGGAGGAGGAGGAGGAGGAGGAGGAGGAGAGAGGAGGAGGGAGGAGAGAGAGGAGAAGGAGTAGAAGGAGGGGAGGAGGAGGAGGTGGGATGAACAGATCAGGAGCGCAAGAGGCGGCGCCAGCATCTCGGGGGGTGGCCCTGCGGCCCCCGGGCGGGCGGGCGGCGCCCGCCCTGCCCGCCGCGGCCCTCTCGAGCCAGGGCTGCGAGCTGGGGCGGAGGGGCGGGCGACGTGCCGCAGTTCGGCGGTGGACAGGACTCCCTTCCGTAAGCCACCCTCCTCCTCCTCCCCCTCCTCCTCCTCCTCCTCCTCCTCCTCCTCCTCCTCCTCCTCCTCCTCCTCCCTTCCCCTCCTCCCTCCTCCTCCTCCTCCTCCTCCTCCCTCCTCCTCCTCTCTCCTCCCTTCCCTCCTCCTCCTTCCCCCTCCTCCTCCTCCTCCTCCTTCCTCCTCCTCCTCCTCCTCCTCCTCCTCCTCCTTCTGCTTGCTCCTCGAACCTGGGGGGCGTGCCCCTCGGCGGTGGACAAATCTCCATTCAGTGAACCACCCTGCCTAGGACCAAACCGACGGACCTGGAGCCGCAAAAGGGACGGCCGCGAGGCACTCCCGCGAACCGAAAGCGGCCAATGCGCTCATCGACGTGTCAGGGCTGGAGGTCTATCAACCTCCGAGCAGTTGTCACTGCACCGACCTTGCAGACGTGCTCCAGCGGTTTTTGTTGGATGGATTCCTGTTAATGCAGAACCCCGAATCTCGGCGGTGGACAAACCTCCATTTAGAAAACCACCTTTTAGTGAAAACGGCCTAAGACCGAAACCGACGGACTTGGGCCCGCTCTCGCGGACCGAGAACGGCCAATGCGCTAATCGACGTGTCAGGGTTGGAGGTCTATCAACTTCCGAGCAGTTGTCACTGCACCGACCTTGCAGACGTGCTCCAGCGGTTTTTGTTGAATGGATTCCTGTCAATGCAGAACCCCGCGACGGCGAGCGAAAAGCGAAATGAATTTCTTGTGGATGTTTGTTCAGTCTTCATTCCCGGCAAAAAATATGCACGAAAGCCACTTCGCAATCCGGAGCGACACTCTCCAGGACAATCCGGGCCCATCCCATTGTTTTCCGAGCGAAATCCGCTCCACGATGTTGGCGCCGTGAGTCGTGAGAAAGTCACGACGGGAGGTTCTTCAATATTTTCGGCCTCCGGGGGCCCTCGGGCCCCCGGACCTCCTCGCGTTGCGAATGGATCACGACGGGAGGTTTTTCGTTGCTCCCGGCCTCCGTCAGAACGACTCCTGGCGAAAAACTGGTCCTGGGGAAGCGGTCCGGAT